TTGGTCATTGTGAGGGCTTTATGAAAATTCATTAATTCAGTTTCAGGCTGAAAGGCATTATGTTGCAGAACTTTAATCCAAGGCCATGGGGATGGATGTATTCTTTCAACTACAACCAAGGTGGTTTCCTTCCTGTTTCCTACTTAATCAATGGTGAAGGAAATCAAGAAAGAAATAATTTCTGATATCACAGTATGCCTGACTGCTCTTCATTTTCCAGAGTCACAACTCTTTGTTATTTTTCCTTCTGAATGCAGCACTTCTGCCACAGACATCCATTTTTCTGACTTGTAGAATATGGTGTTAGTGGATTAGACAGTGAGTGGTAATTGATTTACTGCCAGAAATAACTGACAATTATGTAGATCTCAAATTGTCTGCTTTGCTAGAGTAGGCTAGGATTTGTGACTGAGGTCATCAATAGAGGAATGCATTTAGTATTGACAACTCTCCCACCACGTACCTGAATACCTTCTACTGGGTTTGAAATTATTCCTTAAAAGTCACTAATCTCAAATTACTGATCTCTCTGACCCTCGGAATCCACATTGTGGCTGTATAAAATATTAAGTTTGGAAAAGAAAAAAGTGCTTTGTGGGGGCTTCGTAATGCAATAAAGAAACCAATTACTAGTGTTGTATAATTCTCTAGCATCCTATAGAAACCTCTGTGAGAAAATATCCTGAACTCCTCTAGATTTCTCTGTATTTTCTGAAAAGTTGATTTCAAAAGTGAAAGGAGAAACTTACATATAAGAAAACATTGTTTTACACTCGGTCTCAGAGCTGATTCGAACGAAGTTTTGCAGTACGATGAGAAATAACTATTGATACAGTCCCTTTAGATCTGAGAATTACTGGAATTTAAACACTGTGAACTTTGAAGCTTGAGGTAAAAACAGTTTTGACTGCCATTTAGTTAAAATTTAGCCATTCCTGGTTTACACTGTATTTTTGATAATCAAGTTAATGATAGATACGATGAAAGAGGACAGACAAATATCATAAAATAATTACCTGATGATCTTTTTGTCCTCAGTCAGTTTTTCTCTTTAGAGACTGTCTCTTGGAATGGTTTGCTTTTTTTATCTTTCCATGTTGTAACTGGAAAATGGGATTTCTTGCAAGTACTGAGTTTGCTTTATCCAGCTTACCTGCTAAGTGGCTGGAAAATTAATATAAAAAAAATTGTCTTTAGTTGGAGGTTATTAGGTATAAGCTTTATTTCTGGCCATTATATTACCCCTTCCACACCATTTGTGTACTTACACAGAAGCGTAATGTTACAAGAGGATTATGCAGTAGAACAGCTGAAAGCATCTTGTTTTCAAGAAACAGCTCGCCTTATACGAATCATAGAATCATGGAATGGTTTGAGTTGGAAGGAACCTTCAACTATCATCTAGTCCACCCCCGCTGCCATGGGCATTGACATCTTTTGCTAGATCAGGTTGCTCAAAGCCCCATCCAACCTGACCTTGAACACTTCCAAGGATGGGGCATCCACAACTTCTCTGGGGAACCTGTTCCAGTGTCTCTGGCTTTCTGGGCTGCAAGCACATGTTGCTGGTTCATGTCCAATTTTTCATCCACCAGTATCCCCAAGTCCTTCTCCACAGGACTGCTCTCAATCCATTCATCCTCCAGTATTTATAGTGATACTGGGGATTGCCCTGACCCAGGTGCAGGACCTTGCACTTGGCCTTGTTGAACCTCATGAGGTTCACATGGGCCCATGCCTCAGGCCTGTCAAAGTCCATCTGGAAGGCATCCCTTCCCTCAAGTGGATCAACTGCACCACGTATCTTGGTGTCATCTGCAAACTTGCTGAGGGTGCACTTAATCCCACTGTCCCACTCAATCCCATCCCATTGATGAAGATACTAAAATGTATTTGTCCCAGTATGGACGCTTGAGGGACACCACTTGTTACTGGTTTCCACCTGGACATTGAGCTATTGACTGTAACCCTTTGGACACAGCCACCTAGCCAGTTCCTTATCCACCTAACGGTCCAGTCATCAAATGTAAAAGTGAATTGTCAATATTTATTTTTCTTTCAGACAGCTCTCTGCTAATGCAATATGTAGTGGTAAAAGAATTATCACTTAAAACCAGAATTATGGGCAGTAAATGAGCTACATTTTCTAGAGAGAAGGAGAACTTTCTGGATATGTTTTGGACCAAAGAAAGCATTTAAACCTTGAAAGATGAATGCTTTAAATTATTGTTACCAAATTTCTTATCTTTGTCCCATGTAGGTATGTCTCAGGCTTTGCACTGGTGATAGCATCTGTAAAATGAAATATGTGACATAGAGCTGAATTCTAAATGTTTTTCACCTTTAATACATACCTTTCTTTTATACCTTTGTTTTATACATAGCTAATACCTCCTTTCATCTTGCCTACAGTATATCCTTACCCCTGTTTCCCTTGCCCCCTTCTGGCTGTTTAGAGGTTTTGTGTGTTCCAAAAAAATAACTGAAGTGATCTGTAAGATCCTAGCACGGATGTAGTAAAGTGCTCAGAAGAGGAAAAACAAACAAAACCCCAACCAACCAACCAACCAACTAAACACCAAAAAACAAACAAACAAACAAAACCCCCAAAAAACAAACAAAACCCACCAAAACCAGGGAAGTGTTGCAAGCTGTATGCAGGCTCTGATGATATGTAGTAATTTTGACTTGTCTTTTTCTCTATTGATTGGTTAACAATGACTGTTACACAAGGATAAGGAGAAAGTAATTTTGAAATCACTCTTCACATAGAGAGTGTTTGATTAGTTTTATCCTTAGGAAAATTCTTGTTACAGAGAGGGTCACTGCATAATATATTTTGTGGTGTTACAGGTGAATATATGGGGTTTTAAGCTACTCCATCATTTAGCTGTCATTAGCTGCCATGTCAACCTGTCAAATCCTTTTCAAAGCTTTTTATATTTGCTCTTCTCACTGGTGAAGCTGTTTGCAAGTCTTTCACTGAGCAATCCAACAAACTTTGTACTTTTCAAGCCCCCTCCTTACCTCTAGCAAAAGTGGCATCCCAGGTTTGTTGTGCTAACTCCTCCTTTATTTTGTTTTCAACTTGCAGTCTGATCCCTTATATCATTCTACTTGGCAGACTGTCCTATTTTGTCGGAAGTACTTGTCCGAACCCTTGATAGCGATCTGAAAACAAATTTTAACTTTAGTAATAGTTGCAAAGGACAATAAAAATATATACAGTTTGATATTAATAAATAGATTAAGAGGTGTTTGGAGATTGTACAATTTAATAGATTTTAGCCTTCACTTTTGATATATTTAGATGCTTGTACATTTTGAAAATCCACCTTTTAGTGTCTTTAAGAATGCAAAAGTTGCATGTAAATTACTTCTTTGAAACTCTGTGTGTTGCCACAGCATTTTCCTTCCTCCTTAGTTTTAGGGAAGTCACTGGATGACAGTAAAACATCAGTTTCTCCTGCTGAAGGCTATTTAGGAAAAGAGGTTTACAATGAAAGAAAATATTTAGGCATTTAACATAAGTCTGTAAGGTAGTAAGATAATCCTAAACAAAAGTACAATAAATAGGGTTTCCCAAATGCCTGTTGCTTATTTTGATAGTAATGAATTTTCTTAGCGCTCTGGTGTGCTTCTGCTGATTGTATCTTCTCTATCACATTAATCAAACATGGAATGCATGGAATACATCTAACTCTAGGACTTCTGAAGCAGTTGCTTAGGGATGTTCAACAAAAGCATGCATAAATATTTGGTTTGGATTTCTGAAAGCAGAAAACAAGCTAACTGATTTTTATTTTTTTAGTCTTGTATCTTTCATCAGATCCCTCTTTTCAAAAGAATATGTAGAGTGAAACACCCTAAGGCCACAGAAGTCACAGAGCTTTCATCTGAACTTTTCTTTTAATTACATAATTTAAAAAAGAAGGTCTTTTTCCATTTTTGCTAATTCCGAGCCTCTGTTACGAAGAGTTTTATGCTGATTGCCATATGAAGTGTAATTTAGTTTATACTTTAAGTGTCAATTATATATAAAGCCCCGAAATGAACCCCTGGAAAGGGAATGTAGCTGTTGCTACATCAGCATGTTGCAATAGAGGACAGGAAGAAAAGAAAACTGTAAGAAATTCAGAACAGATCATTTGATAAGCAACATAAAACTACCCCTGCTCAGTTATGAGAGCAGGATGCAAAAACCTGCTCAAGGTTTCACACAACAGTTTTCACAAATGAGTTCAGCTGGGAAGGTGCTGGGGTATAAGATCTGTCCAAAAGACAGCAGAGGTGTAGTATAGCGCTGAAGACAGTAGTGTGTTCAGAGTCCTCTGTACGTGCCTGCAGAACCAGTATATCAAATGTATCATCAAAGGATAGGTTTGATTTTTATATGACATATTTAAAAGGTTTTATTAAATCTGACTCAAAGCATTCCATAGTGAAATTGGTGAAGTAAATTTCAAACTAAAATTTTATCATTATCTTTTCAAGATAATGAGGAAATTAAGCAAATTAAATTATGAGGCCAGACCCTGAATCCTGTCAAAAATACTGGGGCCTTTTGAAGGAATGATACAGAAAAGTAAATGTTAACTTAGTGCTTTCTCTTCTTGATCATGGTACTGATCAAGACTACAGGTGAGTTTTTTGCAGTGTAGCAACATTGACTACCGCTATCTAGATGATATCAGACTGAAATGGCTCCCAGAGAACTGAAACCTACCTAAGATGTCTCTGGTTTTGACATGGGTGGCCTCCATTGCTATTGCACAACTACTGAAATTGTGTGGTGTGTGAACCCACATTTGATTGTAGCAGCTGCAGCATTTTCCTTATGGATGATGGGAGCTGCCTGCTCTTCTGTGTTTGTGGTGTAAAATGGCCACAGCTGATCAAAAGATCTTACCCCAGATACAGTTCAATAGCAGTCAGTTCTTTTTAAACAGCATGTTATAGCCTAATACTTTTTTTATTGCCCTTCTGTTGATTTCTTACAGAGTTTGTTGTGCCATCTTCTTTCTTCTTCTAAGTGGGAAAGTAATGAAGCTGAAACCGGTACATTCATATCAACTCTTGGCTACACGTCAGCAGATTATTACTGTCACTTAGTTAAAAATGTAAGTATTTTGTGCAATTGGGAAATTGTTAATAATAAATCACCAGTTTATACGCACATACATGGAGCTTTCATTGTTATAAGGAGCATGGACTGAACTTTGTTTATCTTTTCTTACCTCAGTCACTTTTACAGCCTTTTAAGGGAAAAAATGAAGTGGGAGATCTCTGGACAAACAAGAAAATTTTTTATTAGATTACACTGTAATAGATGTTCATAAAAATAAAATTCCTGTTGCTGTTGTGTTATAACAAAAAAATGTCTGCCCTATCATTAATTTTTTTTCCCTGTGAATTTTAAATTATATATATTATTTTGTGTATTAGAATGTAACTTTTTGAATGTTTTATTTGACTGTGTGCATGGCATTTAAAATGGTAAATGAGGCCTAAATCTTGGGAAAAGTGTCTTTCACATTTAATATATAAAAATAATGGGAACAATATTTCATAACGTGTTGACTTAAATTAGAGAAAGCATATAAAAATTATTATTAGTGCTCTTCTGAAAGTTTTGCCTCAACTCTTGGGGAAGCAGAACTAAAATAAATAGCTGCTTAGTTTTCAAATGTGGAAGGTGTACAATGTGTTCAAAAAACATTTTGCAGCATAGTTTATTCAGTGATCTGGAGAGCTTTAGTTTGGCACCAATAATTAAAAAATCAAACTGAATGAACAAAGTTATTAACCTCTACAGTATGTCAGTCACACAGAGAACCATGCAACTAATGTGTGTAATTTATAATTTTATGTTATTTTATTTTATTTTATTTAACAGATGGTCTTTCCATTAGTAACAGAACTCAGAGGAAATCAGTTCAATGGACTTAACATTCAGGGGAGGTAGGTGTTATCTAAACATCATTTTGATATATTTTAGTTTGGATCATTCCAGTTCAGTGAGGACCTTTTTACAGCCTTGGGCAACTTAGCCTTCAGTTGGAAAGTTTTGGATATATACATAGGTAATTTCAGGTACAGACAAGCTTGCTAAGTTGTGTTTCATGTAAGAGTTTATACTTAGTCTGAGAGTCATAGAATGGTTTGGGTTGGAAGAGACCTTCAAAGGCCATCTAGTCCAACCCCACCACCATGGGCAGGGACACCTTCCACTAGACCAGGTTGCTCAAAGCCCCATCCTACCTGACCTTGAACAATTCTAGGGATGGGGCATCCACAACCTCTCTGGACAACCTCTTCCAGTGCCTCATTGTAAACCCTCATTGTAAAAAATTTCTTCCTTATGGCTAGTCTGAATCTACCCTCTTTCAGTTTAAAACCTTGTCCTGTCACTACAGGCCCTGGCAAAAGGTCTCTCTCTGTCTTTCTTGTAAGATGCCTTTATGTATTGAAAGACCGCAATGAGGCCTCCCCAGAGCCTTCTCTTCTCCAGGCTGAACAACCCCAACTCTCTCCGCCTTTCATGGTAAGAGAGGTATTACAGCCCTGTGATCGTTTTGTGGCCCTCCTCTGGACCCATTCCAACAGGTCCATGTCCTTCCTGTGCTAAGGACCCCAGAGCTGGACGCAGTACTCCAGATGAGGTCTTACGAGAGCAGAGTAGAGGGGCAGACTCGCCTCCCTTGACCTGCTGGCCATGCTCCTTTTGATGCAGCCCAGGATACGGTTGGCTTTCTGGGCTGTGAGTGCACATTGCTGGCTCATGACCATTTTTTCATCCACCAGTACCCTCAAGTCCTTCTCCACAGGGCTGCTCTCAATCCCTTCATCCCCCAGTCTGTACTGACACTGGGCATTGCCCTGACTCATGTGCAGGACCTTGCACTTGGCCTTGTTGAACCTCATAACCATAATGTTGGCTGCTATATGCATCCTTATAACCAAAGTTAACTAGCAGTTCCTATGAGAAAAAGCAAAAAAAAATTTCCAAAGAAATATTTTTCCCTGTTTGTGCAAGTGATAGTTTAATATAACAGAACAGTAGTTACTTTGCAGTTGTTATTAATGAAAAAATTTGTCCATGGTTATTTAAAGAACCTCTCATTTTCCTTCTATTAGGTCCTTGATCTGGTACCAAACAGTACTGTGGCAATACTGCATGTTTCATATGCAATTATTTTAAATGTACCCAAGCACATAGTACTTCCACCCTTTAACTGCCTCCTTGGCCTGGTTTTTGAAGGATGAAAGTCTGAGAAAGTGGGTGGGAAGGAAATTGCTATGTGCTCTGGCCAAATCTCCAATCCAAATTATCAGGAAATGCTAATAATCATCTTGCAACATTGTGTAGGCTGTTTCTACATGTCTAGGTATAGTCAGTCAGAATAATCACCTTCTTCATCCACACTACATAAATACAGTGAATTAAGCCAAAATCTGTGACCATAAAAAAGGGAATATATTTGCCTAATGCTCCTGCTGTCACTATTTTTTACATGGTCATGCCTTTTCACTGTGTAATTTGTGCCTTTCCACTGACCTTGAAATGCAGATCATAGTCTTTTCTCAATACTTTAAAAATTACCATATTTGAATACGTCAGTAGATCCTTTTGATTACCTGTAAATTAAGTGTATTCCAGCTAAAAAAACAAAAGCAAAAATAAGGATAGATATTTTTAATATAGACTATATACTCAAATTGTGTCTTCTGTTTTAAATGTATCACTCTCCTGTGCATTTTCCGAGCTTTATGACCTATTTAACACCATATAGCCTGTAAAGTTACAAGAAAGAGGAGGCTGATTGAAACATGTTCCTTGTATCATTAGCCAATAGCTTGGCTATTTTTCTCCCTTCCTTCTTGTATCTAGGTGTTTGTGTAAGGAAGAGTAAATGAGCTGAATTCATTTAGAGCTGACTTTAGTACTGAAATCATGGACATGGTTAATGAGGAGCATCACAAAGTTTCGTTCAATGTGGAAAACAAACACCCACATTTTATAAAGTAAGGTGAAGCAGACTTAGCTGAAAAGCTAATGAGACTGTTGGGAAGAGAAATACCTGGTTTCTAGGGGGAGAAAAGGAAAACTTTGAACTTAGGTGAATTTTTGAGCACAGAAGTTATGATATGGCTGTTTATTCAAGTTGCAGAGGCAAATGTAGGTTGCGGTTAGAGGTGTACGTTGCCTCATTTCTCCATTCAGTGATGCTTACAGCAACACAGATGACAACATCTGTGCAAATTCATTGCACACAGTGGAATGCACTGTGCAGTATTCTCCAAGAGCATATTTTGAAGATTATATAGAAGAAAATTGCCTTTGCAGGGTTTTTCTTCCAAAGTTAAGAGTAAAGTAAACTGCTAAAGTTTGCTAATCTAGGATACAGAATTAGAAACAGAATTTTGTAAAGGGGACTGATTTAAAGAATCTCAGGTCTGTGAAGATTACATATCTATATCCTGGAAAACACTACTGCACAATAAATACCAGCCCAACAACTATCATTTCTACAGAAACACTTCTCGTAGTAAAACTGTGTCTCAAAGTAATTCAGTGTAAAAACCTTAAACACATATTTGTTTAGGTACTTACTCAGAAATTTGAGTCTTTAAAAATGTGTCATGTTTTATTTCTCTCACTGTGGAAACCAGAATGGTATCCTGTGTCCACAAGTCATAGCACTTCTGTCACAGCATATGCAAGTGAGCATTAGGTGACATCTATTTGGGAGTAGCTTTAATACATGCGGGGCAATAGAGTTAGTTCTTACTCAGAGAAGCCGGTAGTGCAATTCCTGTCTCAGCTCTTCATAGACTGTACTGGTGGCTTCCCAAAGAAAACAGTTTTGGGTTCTTGCAAAGAATGCACCCCTTTTAGTGGACAAAGCCATCAGGAGAAACTTGCAGCAACTCAAGGAAGCCTTTTACAAACAATCTAGCACTTATTAATTTGCTAGAATTCAGTATTTTGGAGTTTTTGGTCTTCATAAACGTCTTCCTGTCAAAACTGCATCCAGAAAAATCTGCAGTTTCATGTGCTAGAAACTATATATACTCTGGGAAACTGGTGATTTCCTTTTTCAAATGTTATCTCTTACATTGTGTGCCATTTTCCTTTGTGTTTATGTTCCAAAGGTTCCATGTTTTGTTTACATTCCAGGTTCCACTGTCTTTAATCATTTCCAAGCATATAGTTTTAGCGAGCAGGTCAAGTGAGTGGTTTGTATATTAAGGTCCACTTCAGATATTAAGATTCCTTCACTGTAGGTCTGTAAGCCAAGAATTTTTCAGCTGAGCACTTGAAGACAGCAGGATTGTATTGTTCGGTTCATAGAAGTTGTCTCTGTTGAGAGAACAACAGGAGGCCTTAAATGCAGCCAGGTGGTCTCTTGTGAGCATCTAGCAAACCTGCATGGGAGGTGTGAATCTACCTGTGCTTCGCTGATCCTGGGGAAGACAAAGCATTCCCTGCTAGGAGGGGTGAACACAACTGGCTGCACTTCGGAATTGGATTGATATCCCTCACGTGGTTAGCCTTGACCACTGAAATACCAAAATTTTCCCTGACTTCTTGTTAAGATTCTTCAGACAATATGTAGCAACATGTCAACAGTCATTCCAATAAATAATTTTTCTGCAGTTAGGTGTGCATCTCTTACATTTAACCTTCTGTAATTAATTTAATCTTTTTTTGCCTTATTAGTTTAGAAATTTGTTTTGAAAAAGTTTTGACTTTTCTGAAATATGAACTGTATTTATTTTTCCCTCAGAGTTTCAGCCAGTCGTGTGAATGCTGTGTCCCTTTTCTGTCTCCCTCTCATTACTTTGCCTGATCTAACTCCATTGCTGGAAACTCTCCTTCTTTACCATGGAGGTGCATCAAAAGAAATTCTCAGTTCAGAGTTTCTGGAGGCTGTGAATGAGGCCTTTCTAAAGTAAGTAGCATGATCTGTATGATTTTTATGTTTTTTTTTCATAAAGATTATTAATTCAATTAAATGTCTTTTCTCTGGGTTTGTATGGATGCACTGTACATCATCTGCAGTCTAGTAAAATATTTCCCTTGCAGCTGAGTAGCAGGGCTCAGGTTGTAGGGCGAAGCAGAATTTTATATTGCTGATGTTCAAATTGTGGCATAATAGCTTTAAATATTGTCTGGAACTTTGTCCCACGTTTTCTTTAAAATGGAGGTTAAAGTCTTCAACAGATTTTAGGAATTTTGTGAAAGATATGATCAGTTTTCATAGAAATGTTATTTACCTTTCCTGTAAGTGTATCAACATTCCTAACGATGTTTTGAGAGCAATCTTTATTTTTCTGTGCACAAGATAGATCCTTATGTTTGAGTGTTTTCATATTTCTCTTGTTTTTTTCTGTGAAATTGGTTTTTAAATTTTCCTGTTTTTCAGCAGATTATTTTTAATGAGTCTGAGAGGAGCAATTTGTGAAATATAACTTTGCCTGTTTTGCCACCACTAAAGCCACTCTTTTGATAAAATCAGTCTACGGATGAAAGCCAGCTGAATGAAGCTGAACATCAGCAAGATGGGCTGTGGCAGGGAAGAAAAGACGTCAGGGAAAGCACAGCCTACTTTTGGTTGAGAGTTGCTTTATTCAAGTTGTAGCTGAGGGACTGCATTATAAACATCTTTTTTGAATACTAGAAAAGGTTCTTTGTGAACACTTTACTTCAATTATCCATTTGTCTCCTTTTTAATAAAAGTTTTAATTGCTTCCTTTCTACTTAACATTGTAATTTCTAAATGTTCCAATGAAGATTGTTATATTGCTCCAGTGAGGGCTCCAGCAAAAATAAATAATTAATGGAATAGCACAATTACGAATTTCCACACATTACTAGAAGCTGAGGAAAACAAGCGAAAAAGGAATGTGAAGGACTGTAGTGAAAGATGTGTCCCAAAAAAGAGAGCGCTATCTTTCACTTGTCCATCTTTCGTGGCTTCAGACTGGACGCGTTCCACAACCAGTAGTGCGGTTTGGAAAACTATCAGAGCAAGTTCACAGGTTCAGCATGGGTGGTCTCTCCTGATGTCAGTAAGCTGATGGGCGGTCCACTATGACATACTTTTGCCGCCTCATAACATGAGTCTGAATCCTTTAGATGGTCATAAAAGGTTCTTCCGACTGAAGTAAATGTCCCTTTGCCAAACTTTTGAGCTACGTGTTTATCACAGTGAGCAAAAATAGTTCAGTTCATATGGCTCTTGACTAGGTGACTCTTGCAGGGCCCTTGACAGAAGTGTGTGGTTTCCCTGAGAGCAGATGTAGGCTCACACATGCTTTGCATGGTATACTCCTGGCCTGACACGGAAGCTCATGTGATCTTAACATAAATGTGATTGTATTTTACTTTTTTCCCCACTTTAACAATTGAATTCTGTGTTCCCTAACTTTGTTATTGTGTTCTGAACACTTGTTTTCCTTCTAAACACGGGTGAAGCCTGCTCCAGGAAATAGGATTACTAGATACTGAGACCTGCAGTGCTCCACAGAGCTCAGCGTTGTCCCAGTGGGACCATCTGCAAGTTCAGTCGCAGAAGGACAATGACTACGTGTTACTTCCTATATGTTTTTTAAATCTCAGAGTTGGAACACCTCTGTGTAAGCTTATTAGGTTTCTTTTCCTAGCATAATAGCTATAATATCTACACTATCTACCATGCTACCACAAAAACAACAAAAAAGAGGATTGTGGCAAAATTAAATAATCTCTTGTCATTCTTAATTTACTCTGATGTGCATATGTGCTTTAATAATGATAATTAAACAGCATCTTGAAATTGACCGTTGCTTTACAATTTTGAAATTTTATGTACTTTGATATTTTTATTGTCTATGGATGTACACTTTAAAATTAAGCTATTACATAGTTTTGAATGGAAAAAATACAGGTTTTTAATGGAAATCAGAATTCTGAAGGCTGATATTTAAATGAATGTATGGTAAAATACATACATTGAAAATAGATCCTAAAATGGTGTAAAATCTTATTTCTGCTGGTATTTTTCTTTTTTTTATCAGTAGTTTCAGTTTGCATATACTCTCCACACTAATTTTAGGGTTTTTAATCTTAACTTGATTTAAGACCAAGGCACGTATTTCTTGTTATTTGTAAAATTTTTTGGTTTTAGCCTTTTAATCTGCAACTGTCATGATGGCTGCGAAAATATTCCAGGATGTTTTGTGCTGTGGTATCTCTTCTTCTTGGGTGGTTACTTTAATATATTTTGATTTGTGCTGGTCCACACAAATTACAGTATTGTCTCAAAATAAACTGTGCCTTTTATTTCCTAGTGGTACAACTCTATACTTCAGCTGAGCTATAGCTGAAGGCTTTAGGTGAAAAGATTACCTTCTTAACCATTTATCTTTTAAAAGGCTCTGGTCAGTGTTGGTGGGCTGAAGACTAACCTACCTCTACCTCCTTTTTTTAAATTATTTTTTTAAGTTTCTCTTTAAAGACAGGTAATGCTTTGATTTAGCCAGCAGTAATATTATCCAGGACCTTCCTGCTTATCTGTCAGCTGCTGACACTTTCTGAGCAGAGCAGTCTGCAGGATGCAGTCTGGGTTTGAAAGAGTGCAAGTGTGGGGCAGGACCTTTCTCTAGAGAAGAAGGTACCTCCAGACTTAAACCTTCTGTTTCCATTTGCTGGGATCCATCATAACCAAATTTTTAGGTTTTAAAGGCATGTGGTAAGGTTTCATTTGTAGATAACGGTGATTCCCTGTTCTTTGCCATTATTATTTGATATTGAGCAGAGTACTGTAAACAAGATTTTCTCTCTTGCTGCAGGTTGGTCTTTGTGTATTCTTTTTCTGCAATGTGCTTTAAAAAAAAAAAAAAGTAGTACATTTTTGTCTTCCTTCCAGTTTCTCGGGGAAAACAGTATTTTTCTCTCTAAACCAGGAAGAAGATTTCCCTCCCTCAATCAGCTGTCTTCAGCCTCTGGCTTCGTCACTTACCAAGCCTTGAAAAAGCTACCTTATATCTTTTAGACCAGCTGGTTACCACTCAGTTCAATTCATTGGAAGAAGTGGCTTGTGTCATGAAAGACTCCTTACTGGTATGTGCAACATGTAGTCCATTTGATAGTGCTTGTTCATGCTCCAGAAGTGACAGAGAGTTTTCAAATACATCAGCATATTTGAGGCAAATGGCTGTCATGGCATATAACTTGCTAATGCAAAGACAAATTTGAGTCTTGCCAACATCACTAAATTTTTAGTTTTTACACTGAATTGTTGAAGAGAAAAAAGATTTTATCCAGTAATGAAGAATGGATGAAGAGAAGAGAATCTGACTGGTGGGGGTGCTGAGTACCTGCCTCTGTCTTAAAAAATTATAAACTTTGGCCAGGGAGGATTTGAATCTGCTTTTACTTCAATCTCTGTGCCCTTGGCAGTTTAGCAGTTTAAACAATTGAAATTCCTTTTAGATTATTTTATTATGGACTGCTTAGTTACTTGGTTTTGTTTGCAAACCTGAACAAAATTCTTAATACAAAACATTTGCTAAACTGTAATTAAAGTTTGTTTTCAAATGCTGTGTTATGCAGCGCACCAAAAATGTTTCCTATGAGAAAATGACTCAATACCTTTTGCAAAATAATGAGCTAGTTTGCAACACTAGATGTAAACTTAATTGTTAATTACAGTGTGAAATAGCATGTGTGCTATGTCCTTAAATTATGTATTTCATAAAATGGATAGAACTAAAAAATGGCACGTGGTATCTTATTTTCAGCCTACGAAACTGCTTACAGAGTATGTATTCTAGATAGGAAAAGAATGATACCTTTAAATAGTCTTCCTTTTTAATTGAATCTGCAAATTTCTATTTTAGGGACCCATTATAATACTTGCAAATCTCATAAGTGCTTGGCATCCACAGCACTTCATACGTCATCTGGGGATCTAGGTATTCCAGAAGACAAGGCTATATACAAAGCCTGCGCCTAATGTTTCTGTATCAGATACACTGTGAGTTGAATACAGTATAATATGGTGCCACATGTAGCTGAGGAAAAGAAGAATCTAGGTTATATATAAAAGGAAGTAAAATCTTTGTTTTAATTATTGGTTTATTACTGTTTATTAACAATGTTCGTATTTACCTTGTCTTCACATCCTGATTCCTGAAAAGAATGGAACATTAGTCTGCTAGCAGGCTTAGGTTGTCCTTACTTGCCTCTGCTCCAAAGACTTTGTGCTTTCAAAATAAGATAGTCAAGGAGCGGGAAGACCAGTGCAGCAGCTTTGAATGCTGGTTTAGAGAGGACATCCTGTGGACAAGGAGCGCAATGAATGCAGGCATAAAGAGAGCAGCTGGAAGATGGATATTGCTGATTGATAGGCATTGGTAAGAGGGAGAGTGCATAAAATGGGAGATGGCATTCTGATTAAAAACAGGATGAGAAGCTTGAGAGAGGCAGTATAGAAGGAAAAGATTTGATCCAGAAATTGCATTCTACAACACCTCGTGATATTTTGTACAACTTGTACGTGGTACTATAAAGATACTTGTCTGACATTAGATCAGTCAGCACTTTGAATCCAACAGTATGATTAATTCAGCCTGCCTGAAAGATATTTGAATATTTATTTAGGAGTGTGAGTATGCAGTTTTTGGCAGCTGGATTATGGTATTTGTAGGATGTGACCTCTGTTTGCCTCATGGATATGGTAATAAAAAGTTGAATCATGAGACAAAACTTGATTGATACTTTTTTCTATGTCTAAGAAAACCTGTAGAGTACAAATAGGCAGAAATATGTTAGTGATTTGAGTATAGAATTTGATAAGAAGGAAATTTCAATCAGCTCTTTCGTAATTGCATTATCAGAGTCTTTTATCTAAATAAAAGACTTTGATACAGTAACCAAACTGTACATAAACCTCATAGAGATCTATCGTACCCAGATAGTTTAAACCACTGTACTTATGAAATATTTATTATCTTATATTTTAATTCCAAGAGTAATTGTAGTGTGATGGTCCACTAACTTGTGTTTTATATGGTATGCTATTAGCTTTGTGGTTTGGGGGCTAAACTGGAATTAATATTAGAAATTCTGTAATTATTCAGAAGTAATAAAAACCAGTGAAGTGACCATCACAAATGCTCTTTTAGCTTCTTCAGAATTTGGTGGGTGAGTGGATGTCTTCCTTTCTGAAGTAACTTTAAGGTTTGTATGTGTGTATTAACAGCTAAAGTTTAAATAAATACAGGTATTGGAATTTTATGCTTTACCAGAAATGCAGAGAGAGAGAGAGAGAGAGAGATAAACAGACTTTTAAAGCACATGTATGTAAAAAGAGATGTGAATGAATCAGTGTCAATTATAGTAAGTGTTCAGTTCTTAGATAGATTTGCAAAGTAGTTGTATTTCTTTCCGAGTTTTGCTGCAAGAAAAGTGCAAAAGGCTGAGAGGGCTTAAAATTTGTCGACATCTCCTTTATAAACCACCTATTATTGCTATGCTTTGTTTTTCCACTTGTCAGCTTTCCCAAGTCTAGCCCAGCATCGAAAATGTATTGCACTCTGCAGTTAAAGCTCTAGCTGTGGGGTGTCACTTGCTGTTATTTTTCCTGCAGCATTACAGTGCAAATACAGTTTTAGTGGGGGATATGGTGACTCTCGTATTGCCTGACAGGACACCAAGCCGGAGACTGCTCTGGTTCCCATGCCCTTGCACTGCCCTCTTGCTGTGCCTTACCCCCAGGTTTTGAGTCTAGCTGGATCCACACTCACCTTTCATTGGGAGCTGTGCCAATGAAACAGGCATTAACGAGGGAGAAAGGAGGAAGGATAGAGAGAGAAAATGAGAAGCTTTTTTTCTTGTTGCTGTACATTCCAGCTAAGTTACAATTAGTTCCCACAGTACTGCCTCTCTTCAAAACCTGTATTGTTAAGGTAAAATTTTTGAAATAGTGCACACTAATTTATTCATAATGTTGATGAATTCAGGAGCTTTTTAAACCTCTGTAAGAAGATGTTTTGTGCTTTCAAAATAAGTGTGTGCTTATTTTGAAAATAAAATACATTTGGCACTTGGTATAAGAAAAAATTAAGTGACATTTCCTATTTTTAATTGGTAAACATAAGACTCAGGAATACAGGTAAATATACAATTTAGAAATAGAGACAACATTTGAAATACAGCAGTGTAATAGTTTCTTAAAGCTAGGTGTGTTGAACTGTGGAGGTGGTGTGTCCAATTAATAGCATGTGAGTCTGAAAGTCAAGAGAACTGGTATTTGTGGTGTTATCACCTCAAATCTGTTGCTGTGTGATCTTGGGCACAATTTGTTTCCCTATGTTTACTCTTAGTTGCGGTTTTTACAGAGCATTCTATGGTGTGAATAAAACGCCGTATATAATTATTAGTCTGTTCGTCTTCGTGCCATTTACTTGCTTCCTGTAGATACAAATGTATTTTTCTTATTTCTTTATTCAGTTCTGTATTATAAATGAGTTGTTTAGGATTCTTCTTTCTGATAACACAGATATAAAAGTAGTGTAGTTCTATAGAACTTGCGTATGTAATACTTTATGTTACAGTGTGTTTTTCCTATTTTATTTCTTTCAAATATCCCAGTGGTTTTGTGTTTGGTTTTTTTTTCTGAAGAGGCACACATTCTTAAAATACGTAATCATAGTATCACACATGGAGCTCCAGTTCCCTGTGTTTGGATCTTTTTGGTTTAGTGTGTGTTGTGCTGTATGTATTGTGCATGTTTTAAAAGTGATGGAACAAGCTCCTGGTAGGCAGTATGTTTGGTTTTCTGAGCCTTCTGTGAAAAATATTGCATAGTCGCAGGCACGACTATCGAAATGTAAAATGCCTTTTTATTTTGAAAAAATAAGGAGATAATATCAACAACATGTAAACCCTGTGAGAATCCCTCCTGAAATTGATAATCCCTCCCAAACCCCTGAACTGCTGTGGGCCGCAGCAGAATTGTGCTGCCTGCTCTTGGTCCTTGCTACACATCAGGCACATCTTCAAATTGCCTTGGAGACTTTTGTGCTATGATAGCATTCTTACTCTGAGTGCTTGCAAATTAATTCAATGCCATCCATTGATCAAAATCTTGTGGAATTAGACTTACAGTGGGGTTTGGGGTTGAGGGGTTTTTTGTTTTCCCTTTTGAATACCAGTGATGAAATCCATATTGATTTCAGTAGTGTAGATTAAATACTAGGAGCTATTTATTAACTGTGGTTTCTTGTAGTGAGTACTGTAGACTGCTGCTGTCTGGCAGGAAAGGGTGGAGAGTCTTTCGTTGTTGCATACAGCCCATTTATTTTGGTCTTGTTCAAAAGAGCTATGATTTGATCTTGATATGTGTGGCAACGTGCTGATGGACCCTTTCTAGTTTATATTCTTAACCAACGGTGGGTTGGTACGTCATCACAGAAGTATGTGTGCAAAGGTTTGTAGGGTGTCTGAAAAGACCTTAGGGGGGGAAAAAAAAAAAAAAGAAAAAAGATGAACGTGTCTCTTTTGTCTCATCCAGCCAGTCTCTCTTCTCCTCTAGCAGTGGAAGTTTGGAGACCAGCCTTGCAACAAGCTGCATGCTGCTCTCCACGCGTCCACACAGCCGTCTGTAAATACTCTCGAACACTAGATGGCACACCTTCAACAGGACAAGTTAGCTACAGCCGCCTGACAAGGAGGAAGGGTGGTACAACGTGAAAATGAGGTGCCACCTAATATTTCCAGTATGGCAAAGACAGCTGTGAGAAACAAGGAGCCTTTCTACACTGTTTGTGTAAAAGGTTGTCTCTTTATTTTCTGAGGTTATCATACAAAGTCCTCATTCTGCCTGTGTGCAATTAAAAAGACAAAAAATTCTATCCTGCTTGGTACCTTTGAGCTTGAAACAAATGTATAAAACTTTTCTTTGGAATAGTGCGTCAGGCACTTAAAGCTGTTCCAGTAAATGCCATTTATAAACGCTATTCCTTGCGTGCATCCTGAAGTTTATAGAACGCATTTTATTAAACATGCATTATTCTAGATTGTCCAAGAGCTAAATTGTTATCAGCTCTTCAGGTGCTAACTTCAGAAACACAAAGCATGAAATTTCTTTTTTAACTTAGGCAAATACACTTTGCAGAATGTGTAAATAGTTTTTTATTCTTGGTGCTCTATAAAAGCCTAATAAATCTTAGAATTTAAGAATATACGATTAGAAAGTAGTGTGTTTAGTAGTGCATGTTTAATATATCTACCTTCTTAAAACAGTCTGTTGTGTGGTAGCATGATAAAAAGCTTCACTAGTTTAAAAAAAACCACCACATTTTGGTGCACTGAGATATTTAGCCTGTACTAACAACTCTGAAATTCACAGAGGAAGATAATACTGTGAAAAAAATGACTTGGACAAAAATGTGTACAGTAGTATTAAAGGCAAAGGTGATAATTTTAATTTCTGGAATTTAATTTTGAAGATGTTGCAAGAATCTCAAAGCACATCCAAAAGGGATTGTCTGTGAAGAGGAGAGAAAAGCTTTTTGTAAATCTGCTCCCTGTCTCTTGCCTCTAGCAACTGCATGCAACAACCTGTTCTTTCTATCTGTCTCCTTTAGTATATATAGTTATCATTGTCATAAACAGTTTGGGATCCCAGGTGTTTGCATTTATCAGCTGTTTAGCCCGCTTGGTATCACTGTGGATCTCCTTCATTGACTTTGACAAGTCATTTTGAAGAACCTAATCCTGAGAAAATCTGAGGGTTTAGTAAGAGTTGATCTGAGATTTACATTTTAATAATTGCAGTGTAATAACACCCTTGAGTTAAGCTGTAAATTATATGGTGGCAGTTGTTTGAGTTGTTTCTGATTAATGACTAATTTTCTTTCATTTGTTTATCAACAGCCACAAGCTGCAAGCCATCCTGCCATTTTCAGAATTGTTAATGAAATTTTCAAGTAAGTTTTGAAATTATAGTGGGAAGCATTTCAAATGATCAGCTTAAACATTGAGGTTTTCATCATGAGACGAAGGAGTATTATAATCTGGGATGTACCATAATTTCAGGATGTCTTTTTCTTTACCTGTATGCCTTAGTGTCCCTTTCTGTGTAATATAATGCAAATAATGAAAAATGTTAAAAATCTTGTGAACTTTACATAAAAGTTACATTATAATAATAATTGATACAGTTGACTACCTTGTATTTTAGCCTTTAAAATTTATAAGTTATTCTGTACTTCAGTAGAGATTTGTGGTTGAAATATGATTTTGAGGTGAAAATTATAAATGCTGAAATGGCTTGGCCCATGCCAGCATCAAGATGGAATTTAGCTAAAACATTTGCACTTACCAGTGTAGCCTCTTTTACATTATGTTAATAGTCTTCAGGATTTATATCAGATATGCTCTCGATGGCATTAAAGTATTGATCTGCCTGTTAATAATGACTTTGGGTTAGAATGCATTATTTTGAAGCAATATATACTTCTTACCACATGGGGGCTTCCAGTCCTTTGTACTCAGTTTTCAGTGGCTTTTTCTCTTCACTTCACTTGACTTACTATTTTATCATTCCTTTTAAGTAGATCTGCTGCTGGGGTTATCAGTATTAAAGTTTCGATACAACAGTAATGTATTTAGTGAATAACATCCTTTGTTCATCAAGTGTTTTCCTTCTTAAGAAAAAAGGGCTCCCAGGTGTGCATGTTTGGGGGCATTTGTGTGTTTCTTTGCACGTTTAGGTTAGTGCAGGCACTAATAGAAGAGTCTTCGCTGTAGAAACTGTGTGTATGGTGAGAGTGGAACCACTTGGCAGCTATTGGCATGGCAGTCCTTTCCTTTGCTGTGGTCCAGTGTCTGAGCACAGCTAGCATTTTCTGAATAGTTGAGACCTACATAACTATTTTGCACTCTTTCCATTTGGTAGACAGTAGAAATGGATGAAATGCAGTTTCTTAGACAATGCAGGACTTTGTCCAGCAGGATGTTTCCTAATAAAACTTTGCACTTGTAATAATGTTCCAAATCGTCTTAGAAATTCATCGTGTTTTCCTGTTGCTCAGCCTACATTTCTGTTCCCTTGTTTGCTTTCAATTGTTTCTACTTAGTACGCTTGTTCCTCTACATTGTTGGTATTAAACCATTGATATATTTTAAAGTACTGTGTTTCAGGTCCTCTTGGTATTACGTGAAACTGTGTATGTTAGCTGGCTTTTGTAGACCAGTTGGTTTCTGCAGCTTTGTGTTCATTTTTGTTGTATTTCTCTGACATCCTTCCAACTATTATCAAGTGGTGTGCAGACATTAAGATGCTGTTCCAGATTTAGTCACATATGAGATTTTAGAGAGCTGCTGATAAAGAACTTGGACTTCATTGCTTGGAAATTGTGCTATGTTTCTACAGCTGGCACAAAATTCCTTTTATTTTGGGAGTTAATATTCTGTTAGAAGTACAGATCTAAGCATTGTGTCTCTTTCAGGAATAACTTTTCCTGCTATTTGCATGCTTTTTACTGAGGTTGATTGTGCTAAATTGTTTTATCTCAGGGATACGAACTTGTATACTTCCCAAGTGGAAACTTATTTTGTTGCTATGTGCGGCTATACAGAAGTCCATACACCTAGACTGTCCTGATTTTCTGTGTACTATTTCTTGTGTTTATATTAGTGATTATATTTGCTTGTAGTTTTGTGAAGTTTCTCTGTTACAGTAATATGTTAGCTGTTCTTATCTTTTAGATCATTACGGAAAGAATGAAACAATTCTGTAATAAAAAACTTATATCTAAAGGCAGCTTACTTTTGAACATATTTTCTCCTTACTATGATATGTCTTTCAAATAAGATAATGAAAATTACACTTTGTTGCCCATGTGTTTTTCTGCTCCATTTGCTCAAGGTTACATTATGCCCTATGGAAGGCCAGTTAAAGCATTCACTTTCCTGAACCTCCAGAGTGGATTTTATGATTTCACTGTTGAAAGCACATTGAAATGCATTGGTTCCTAATTAAATCTGTAGCAATTACTGATCTAAACTACGCCTTTGGTATACACTCATTTCTCTTTGTGCTGCTGATTCATTTCTTAGTGATCACTAAGGTGTCACAGCGATTGAACAGCAGCTGTATTATTTAATATTTAAGTTCAGTCTCCTTGTGTAGTTTTTTAAATATGTAACTTTTAAATTTGAGCAACAACTTTTGTTTGTTTCCCTGGCTCCAGTAGGAGTATTATATTTAACAGTCAAGATGTTGGGATTTTTTTCCTTCTTTTCCTCCAGGCACCATATCCCAGGAGATTGTACTAGATTATACTTTCTCTCTGATTTGAGATGGCCTATGGGATGCAGTCCCACAAAGCACTAAAGTATGCTTAACTGTAGGCATGTGAATAGTAGCTCTGAACCCAGTAAGTCTGTTCAGGTGCCAAATTTGCCTAATAAAGTTGTTGTAGTCTCTTTTTTAATTTTATACTTTTTTCCCCCTATTGGTAGGTTGAATTATGTGTGTCTGCATGTAGATGGTATATACTTACTAAATCTAGTTTATTTGTAGGAGTTGCATATGTTTTTTTAAAGTAAAAATAAAATTTTAAAAGCCTGCAAAGTTAGCATTTCTGTCAGTTTCCACACAGGCATAATGAGCTCAGACACAGCTTGAATCTACATCGTACAACAAATGTACCTTTTTTTTCTTCATTTCAGTTAACAGTGGTGTGACAGCCAGACTAATTATCTGATCTGTTGTAATCTAACTTTTCACTGCTTAGGAATGCACTGCTGGAAACTGATGGAACTCCAGAAGTTATGACCATAATACAGGTGTTTACACAGCTCTTCCTTCAGGCTCATCAGAATGAAAACAAGGTTAGTCAAGATCGATTTCTTAATGTTTCTTTTCAGTGAGAAGATATGAAATTTCATAAGAAAAGAACAATTGTACAGTTAAGAATGGTGACTGAATATAATGAGCTAAATAATAGCATCTCTCTAGAGCTGTTATATACATGCCAAAGTTCAGTTCAAACATTTTCACCTGTGAATACAATCATAGTGTAAAACCAATATGTAAGAGCAATTTACCTGACTTTACCCTGGAGTAATCCTGCAACCTGAACTGTGATTTTCAAAGGGGCAGTTCCCTGGTGCTGAAGTTTCTGCCTGTATAATGAACATGGTCATGATCATCCATTTTTGATAGAAAGGACGAAAAACTTTAGATGCATTTGTCTTTTGCAGTAGCAGGGTTTCTGATAATAAATGAAAAAGAGATAGTAACCCCATTCCCCCAAATAATAATAAGTAGGATACCAAATAGTCAGATTTGTCTGTTCAGAAGGTAGAAGACACAGAATACATACTGCTTTCAGTTTCTGGTCTTAAACAGTGGCCACTCTGAATTTTTTCTCAGTCTAAAGTTTCAAATTTCCCAGCCTAGTGACTCTTCTTCTGCACAGATTTTTATACAGGTCTTACTGAACTGAATTAAGTAGAATTACTTTTGCATGTATTAATTTAAACAAGAGCAGGATCAGTTTCTCATTTTTAAATTTCAGACTGGAGATATGAAAAAGTCTTGTTCATAGGTTGCAAACTTTTTTTCAGGTTCTCAAGTCACACTGTCATTTCACATCCTGACCTTTTTGTTTGGTTGTTTAACTCCAATTCATATGGTATAAGTTTGGAAAGTATCCTGTCATTTAATAGCTTTCACTTTAGACTTAAGAAGTTTTCCAGTTCCTTTGATTTTTGTGTCTTTTTGGGGAGATGGTAGTTAGGAAAATTTTGGGACTTCTTGGAACTTGTGACATACTAGCCTTTAATTAGCGGTGTTGCTGAATCTGTCTTCTAGCTTCAGGCAATATGAATTAGGGATGAAACTGCAGCTGTCTTGCTTAATATATAGGTGCTGTGCATGTTAATTTTATGCCACCCTGGCTGCATGGCAGCAGTGCACTGGGTAGCCCCAGGTGGAGGTGACTGGGTGGAGAATGCAAGTAAAGATTCCACACCCATCAGACACACAAGAGGTAATCTTTTCATGCAGGTGATGCATTTGTTTCAGGGTGGAAGCCCTTCACCTGCTGGCATTGTGACACAGACTATTGCCTGCTTTTTTGAAGTGGTTTTAAATGTTAAGTTTCCTCTATTTAACTTGTATACAGGTTAATTCATGGGGCTCTAATTAAGGTATTATCTTCAACATTAGAATTTAAAATCCCTTGTTTCACAGTTTACAAATCAACCATAACGTTAACTAACAGTTGGCATACAAAAAAGCAGGCACAGACTGCTTCCTAAACTTTGTTTAAATCTATCAGATTGTATTTTTTTGTCATAACAATATTACATATATTCATAAGGCACCCATCTTTGTTGTATCTGGATGCCCTTGACAGGACATAATGTGTTCCATTAGCATTTCACAAGAGGAATGGTAAAACCATTAATGACAGAGGATGAAGAGGGTTTTAGCTGGGTCATCTGAGACCTTAGGAATTTATAGTACAGGTAATTGAAAAAATGCTAGGCAAACAGATGTGTCCACAAGATTTTCAAAAGAACCAGGTCATGGCTGGCAGTTGCACAGATTTGCAAGGTAGGAGGAGAATGATTCTTTATTGCAGTGTGGCAGCTGTCAGAAATAGCTGTCTTTTTTTGTAACTTTGTCGACCGTTTAGAGAGAACAAGGTTTGGCAGAAAAAAAGCTGACGAGTGTGAAAGAACAGTGCTACAGGGTTTAGGAGTAGTATTGTTTCCTCTGTGCTTTGGGAGACTGAAAAATGTATAAATGGAACATGGGGTTTAAACCTACTTAGGAAAAAAGACCATTTATGTAGTCATAGAGTAAGAAATTTAAGAATGGGTGTATTAAGATCACTGTGGGATAATCCTTTCCATGTTTTGTACAAGCAGATTTTCTTCAAGTTTGTGATGGTAGTGAAAGCTGACCTAAAGATATTTGGGTCATGTTGCTTATAAATTTATGAACTTAAAGTCATGTTTTTATTTGATGGAAATTATAATTTTCTCTGGGATTGTTTTCCCTTGATCATTTCAGAATTGTCAGTGGTTTTCACCTGGGAATTTTGTTTTAAATAGCTGGATAAGTATTTTAAGCCAGTGCTCAACTTTTATTCCTGTTACACATCATGGCAATTATTATAACCAGCCACATCCAAACTCGTTCCACCTCTTTGTACCTTGTTTTGCACTTTGTGATGGCTTATGTAAGGAAATAGCTGCCTAAAAATACTGTGTTTGTATGATAGGAAGCAAACATTTTTTGCTTTGCTTAAACAGTATGCTGAAAACTGGTTTTCACTTACTTTACAATACTGTTTTCATATTTAACTCATGCTGTGGGTTGTCTTGGCTACTACTGACTGTGTCAAGGGCTGCCCTTTCATGGGGATTTTTGGTGCAAGCTAATTGGCTACATGCATACTTTAGTATGGGGATTATTAATTTTTAATTAACCTAATTCCACTTGGCAAGTAGACTTTTAGAGTCTTACCATACCAGTGATAGACTGTCTGAAAACACTGTATGTATTAGTGTGCAGTAATTTCAATTAACTGTTGTTTACAGAACAAAAAAAATTAGTAGAGAGAGGATGTGTCATTCCATTTGTTTATAAGAAGCATGCATGTACATCCCAAAAGAAATGAGTTACTAAATATGGTCTTCATCAGCTTTAGAAATTTATCACATTTTATAGAGACTGTATTCCCAGTCTGTGTTTCAAGAGATGATCCATTTGCTAAATAGTCTCTTATTCCTCAAGAAGAAGACAGAAGAGTTCTAAGGTCATTGGTGTGGAGACATGAAGACTGAAATGACAGAATCAGAGTGGTTGAGGTTGGAAGGGACCTCTGAATGTCATCTTGTCCAACCCCCCAGCTCAAGCAGGGCCACCTAGAATCAATTGCCCTGGACCATGTCCAGTTGGCTTTTGAATATCTCCAAGGACTGAAACTCTACAACCCCTCTGAGCAACCTGTGCCAGTGCTCAGTCACCCTCACAGTAAAAAAAAAAAAAAAAAGTGTTTTCTGATATTCAGAGGGAACCTCCCGTGTTTCAGTTTGTGCCCATTGCCTCTGGTCCTGTCACTGGGCACCACTGAAGAGAGCCTAGCTCTGTCTTCTTTGCACCCTCCCTTCAAGTATTTATATACATTGATAAGATTCCCCCTTGAGCCTTCTCTTCTCCAGGCCCTCTCAGCCTTTTCTCATAGGAGAGATGCCCCAGTCCCTTAATCATCCTTGTGGCCCTTTATTGAGCTGTCTCCAGTATGTCCATGTCTCTCTTGTACTAAGGAGCCTAGAACCAGACGTAGTACTCCAGGTTTGGCTGCTGGAGTGGCTGCTCACCAGTGCTGAGGAGAGGAGAAGCATCACCTTCCTTGACCTGTTGACAATCCTTTGCCTAGTGCAGCTCAAGATACCATTCACTGCCTTTGGCGCAAGGGCACATTGCTGCCTCACATGCAACTTGGTGTCCACCAGGACTCCCAGGTCCTTTTCTGCAAAACTGCTTTCCAACTGGTTGGCTCCCAGCCTGTACTGGTGCCTGGGATTTTTCCTTCCCACGTGCAGGACTTTACAGTTCTCCTCCTTGAACTTCACGAGGCTTCTGTCAGCCCAGTTCTCCAGCCTGTCAGGGTTCCTCTGGGTGGCGGCGCGACCCTCTGGCATGTCAGCCACTCCTCCCAGTTTTGTGTCATCAGCAAACTTGCTGAGGGGACGCTCTGCCTCATCATCCAGATCGTGAATCAAGATGTTAAACAGGACTGGACCCAGTATTGACCCCTGGGGTACACCACTAGTTACTGGCCTCCAGCTAGACTTTGTGTCAATGATGACCACCCTCTGGGCTCGGCCATTCAGCTGGTTTTCAATCCACCTCAGAGGGAGTTCATATTGCACTTGCATATGCATGCTACATATTAGACGTGCCTGTAGTCGATGTTTGTAGAACAAAAAATTAAAGGTACGCTGCTGTTGGTCTCAATTACTCAAGCAGCATTGTTCACAGAATACAAATCACATGTACCCAGATAAATAGAGGACAAGTCTGTAACTTATGACTACCCTACCTTGTGCTGAATCAGATACTAAGAATTTCAGGTTTCCATTTTTGAACAGAAGGCAATAATCTAAATCACACCCTCAGATTTTGTAGGTGTTATTAGTTCTTTATTTAATATAATCTGTGAATCTGTTTACACTGGAAAATGAAATTAAACCAATTAGTGTCTCTTTTAACCTCTGCATATTAAGAGTAAAGACTTTTGTCATTACAGGGAAAAAGCCCAAGAACATTAAGATGTCATTTTCTTCATACTCTGATTCTTTTTTAATGCATGTACTTTAAAAATCCATAAATAATTACTTTTTCTAAGCAAGCTTTTCCTAAATAGGCTCCTTCTTTCTTTATGCAAAATCCTAAAATTAAGTGTAGAGTTACTTTTCTGTTCTCTTGCTTCAGTTTGTATTGTTAGTTACTACCTTAGTTGAGATTGTTCACTGTGTGTTTGTTTTGAAAACTGACCAGAAAGCTCTTAAAATAATGATTTTGTATCTTAGCGTAAGTTTCCACTGAAGGCCTACTTCCCTTACCATCACCAGCCTCTTCTAACAGCTTTAGTCAGACGTCCTTTTGGTAAGTTTCTTCATGAAATATTTGCAATGTTAGCCAACCTGCATGATCTGTATATGTCTTAAAATAACTTTAAAAGGGATGAAGACGAAATTATGCCATTTCCTAAATAAGGTGTGTTGACTTAGCAATTTTAGTAATATTCTTTTAATGTATTTTTTTGCAGGAACATCTAATTCTTATGTAGCAATAATACAGATGTAACTTTAAAGAAAACTAAACCAGAAGTGAATGACAGAGTGCATAATTTTGTTGCAATGAAGACAAGTTACTGAGATTGTAAAAATACTAAGTACTCTTATCTTACAATTATAGTAATTATCATTATGAAAATTTTCATATGTATATTACAAGAAATAGCCTTGCTGTTTGTCTCTGAAGCTTGAGTTCTGCTGATATTTTAGATTGCAAACCTAATATTTTTTTTCAGGTTTCCCATTTTTATAGATAAAGAAACCACTTATCAATATGGTACAGTTTTTCATGAGCAATAATTTCAGCTCAGTACAAAAGCCTCTGACAATGTTACTCCAGTGATGATATGTTAATATTGAGGTAGCATTTACACAAGGGTACATCAGCCTCGTTTGAATATTCCTAGGTGTAATTCTCACATGGCTTTGTCAATGAATTGCTCTAAGAAACACAGTAATAGGTATTGTTGAAAATTTGGAAATTTTAAAATTAAATTTTAAATGCTTTGTGATAACTGAATCAAGTTGCACAAATTTTAATGCTAGCTTAATATGGTTAATTTCACTGTTCTGTTCTAGTTGGACAGACTAGAATTTTAAGAGTTTTATTTTCATCCTGCCTCCTCAGAACTGCCAACTACACACTGGTCTCAACACTTGAAACACATTTCGGATATGCTCAAAGCATTAGTAGAAGATACAAACATTAGGTAAGCACTATTATATTTTCTAACCTTTTGTCCTTTTTTGCATATGGTACTTTGTGAAAAGCCATGTCATTTGAAGTTTTTAGTAGCTACATTTCGTCATTTTCTTATTATTCTCTAAACAGAACTTTGTTTTAAAGAATAGGACTTAGATTACTCACTGAACCTGGACATTGTAGCACCTATAGACCTGACCAGTAAGCCTCTAATTAAACAAAAGCTTGTTGTTCCTTTCATTTTAGCAAACAGCTAGCTGTATAACAGAAATGCTTACTTCCCCACTCTCCCATTTCTCCCCCAAAACTTTTAAAACTGATTCTGGATTGAATAACAAGAGAACTCTTCCAACCCGAAAAGCAGCCAGTATTGGAAAGAGCCTGTTGTGAACAGTACTGTTTTATGAAGGACCTTGTATTGGCTTCCTGCAGGCTTGTGCAAACATCCAAACTTCAAACTTCTTGATTTTTTTCATAAAGGTATGACTGCTAGACTGCAGTATTGTTGTTTGTTATACTATCCTTTGAGCTGACACCTCATGTTTCTGACCTGTGCCCTTAGCTTTTTTTTGTCTGAAGAGTTGCTGTAATGAATGGTAGTGTTTGTCTACATGAGTTCTGCTTTGGTAGTAGATGCTTTAGGACTATATGAAAAGAACAAAAAAAGATACATCTCCATCTGTTGCTGCCCTGTAATTTTTTCTTATCGGGTGTGTGATGAGACCTGACTCAGCTAGAGCTTGGATATAAGTCTGGTTAGATCTGCTCTGAGAGTGAGCTTTCCAAAGAACATTGAACAGCTTTTAAATTCAAAGAAACCAATTTAGTTTTGATTTAAAACCTGAAATATTTCAGGAGAAACATAGAACATCTAGGCCGGGTAGACTTGCAAGACAAGATAAACAGCTGTCCCTGTGTCTTGGAAGACAGCTACTTGTCTCCATGCTTGGTTTCGGTTAACTCATGGAGGCTTTTATTTTTGTTGTTGAGTGGCAGAAAAAAGCTTTTTGCTGTTCTTTCTGAGGCCAAGCTGTCTGCTGCAACTTCTCACTTTCTGTATGACCTGCAGTTCAATGCTATGTCTCGCCTGTTCATCCCTGAAGTCTGTCAACCCTTTCCATCCCTGGAGAGTGACCAGTAGCTGACCCTGGCTTCTTAAAGAAAACACATAACTCAAACTTAGAACAAACAAATAAAACAAGTATCATCCATCATAATAGGTTACAATAATAGAAGCATGTCTGTTCTCCTTTTGTTGCCTAGCTCCTTCTTGGCTTATATTGTCTTTTTCCCCCTTTGCTTTGATAGTACACTAGTTTGAATAGTATTGTACTTGCCAGAATATCCTCTTACTTCCTTTAGAACTCATGCAACAATTATGTTTCCTACCTAATCACTCTCAGTTACAAAGAAAATAGATCTGGCTGAAGTTTTTAAATACTAATATCCATGAGGAAACTGTATTCAATTTTCTTTTACTGCTTTATTCCTGATTCTGCATCCTTTCTACTTAATAAGATTAACAGAGGAGCAAAAAATACTACCATACAGCATATCCTCTTGCTTCTTATAGTCAGTGCTCTCTGTTTATATAGCTTGTTTATCAATGGTTTAATTTTACACCAAATGGAAGTTTTACAGCAAGGTGCTTTCTGTGTACTTCTAATCAACAGATTGCTTCTGTGCCGTTATTTATTATTATATGTAGTCATCTCTGTGAACAGTAAATGTTATGTGACATTTTAAACCAGAAATCAACTGATGTACATTTTGTGGGGGAAAGTCCCAGAAAAAGTAAAGGGCCACTTTTGGCAATGATAGTGGAGCACTTGACATAGGTGCCACTACAGAGCAGGCAGAAGCAGCAGCAAGGACAGAAGTGGAGGGTACACAACTCCGAACCATGCACTGTGATGGTACAGGAGAGTTATGGTGAGTTGTAAGTGCAGTGGTTCCTAGGCTCTCTAGGCAAGCATTAAATTCTGTTCTGCTAAGTATCTGTTAAAATTAGTTTAATGCTTAAAGTTTAAGGACTTGTATTTACCCTTTGAGCTATGAACACTTCCAGTCATAAATACTGTCAATATTTCCCTAAGTATAGTTATCTGTTCTCAGTAATTAACTTTTAATTAAATTCCATCTTTGATTGTAAATCACTGGGTTTCAAAGCTAGCCTATCCACTTACATTGTCACAGCATTGACTTATGGTCAGATAAGCAGATTATTTTGCTGAGGGGAGGGCTGTTGTCCTAGATCACTATCACATTTGTTTGTTTTTTTCAAAGGTTTTTAATGTTGCATTTCCAGATTCTAGTATCTTCAAAGACTTTACCACTGCTGATCCTGTTCCTTTAGCTAAAGAATTTTAGTCTCAGATGTTGTCACACATCGCTAGTTCCCTGCAGTCTGAGCCATGCTGCTGCCCCTCCAAAAGGTGTGGAATATCAACAATGGTGACTTTTATAGCAGTCACCTCAGTACTCTATTTTCTTTCTATGACTCTATGTCAACCTCTTATGTCTGATGTCAGTGGTCACACTTATCCAAAAATACTGTTGTGGTGGATTTGTGTCCTATGAATAGGATTTTGAGACCCTGAGATTCTGTGGCATATAGACAATATCATTTACAGAATCAGTAACTTCTGCGACACCTGTAGACAACATCAGTCACCAGTATACTCCAGAGATAGAATACTATCTGCACACACTACACCTTCATCCATAAAACTGTGCCTTCCACTTCTTCAGAAAGTCTTAAAGATAAAGGAGTTTATTCCAACTATGACCTTGTCACGTTGCCCAGCTGATGTGATGGTATCAGACAACGTCATCAACTCCTGAAATTTCTAAGATCTCTTGGAGTTTCATGGGAAGATTGGCACAGCAGCTCTTGGAGTCCCCAGGAATAAACCATAAGAAAAACCTCTAATTCTTCAAACTTTTGCCAAACTTAGTAGGAATAATTGTTCCTGGTTCTTAATCTCCTTCCAGCTGTCCTTCTGTCTGTCCTTCCTTCCACCCTCAGTTTGACTTTTTGCTTTGGAGACACCTACCATTAGTTTGCATTTCTCCATTATTTCTCTTTTCTTTAGTCTTAACTTTAGAAGACTACATGTGAGAAAGTGTAGACATGAGCTGTGGTCCATTCTTACCTTTCTTTTTCTTACTGCAGTAACCCAGCTGTAAATACCTTCACATTTTTAATTAAAGAGGACTTAAATTTTAAGTCAGGAGGTGAATATCCTTGAAAACTTTATATTTAGTCCATCTAAATGTAATTCTTCATGAATTACCAAAAAACATGTGCCTCCCGAATTACCAAACACCACAAAATAACCCTGGAAAGCAACAGAGAGAAACTGGAAGACAATGTAAGGCAACAGTATGTTAGAATATAACACTCGAGATACGATTTAAAGTTTTGAAAATCCTTCAGCTGGAGAGTATAAATGATAAGGTTTAATTTTATGATGGATATTTTAATACCTAGTATTTTGTCACAGTTTATTAGAACCTTGTGTTATGGATAGTCTGTTCTGCTGTTAATTAATTCTGCAAAATTAATCTGTTAGTAGCACTGGGTGTGTCTCATTTGACCATGACTGCATATAATAGAGTAGTACATGGCTATATGCTTAGCAGGTAATGCATTATCTGTTGACGAGTAGTTTAAGGATTTTTATTTTCATGCCAGCACCCTTTGCAGTTAACTTAAGACATGTAAAAATATTAAATAACAAGAAATACTTAATTGTATCTTTGTTATTTCCCAGTTCTCTTGCTGACCTTTTTGAAATCTGGTTTTTGATTGCTCGTTTTGGAGAATGGCTGGATATTGCAGCAGAACAATTACTGAAGGCTGCTGTAGAACCAGATGCTTTGCTGTGGCTGCTAGCATTTTACTACTGTCCTCAGAATGAAAATCAACAAAGGACTCAAACAATGGTGGGTAATGTAGCAATAGTAAGCAGCAATAAGCAGTCAATAGTCCACTTATATCTTAATGCTATAAAACAAACAGTGTGTACCAGAAAAATGAAAGATCTACACTGGAGTAGGTATTGGCTTTACAAGGTCTCTTGGGAATTGTGTTGCAGTAGAGAAGTTGAAGGATAATTTTTGTGGATTTTCTTGGTGACATTTAGAAAACACTCTTCCTCTTTTTAAAGTATATTATATAGATTGGCACCTTCCTGGCTTTCTTTTGGGTAACTGGGGTGCTTTTAATCACGAGTAAAACTGCTCTAGGGATGGTATTTTTTAAATCACTGTGTGGCAGAATTTAGCATTCCTGTGTTATGGCATCTTCTGAGAAGGAAACACAAGAAAAATCACAACAGCAGTCGGAGCAGTAAAGATACTTAATCAGACACAGCCCTGAATCCTTAACTTGCCCTTCTATTCTGATTTCTCTTCTGTATCTTTACTGAATTTTGGCATGTATGAGATAGTAACAAGTACGTTATATTCCCATATGCTAGGTTTCTAACAGAAGGAAGCAGTATTCTAACCTCACGCCCTGTACTGCATGAAGAGTCTGTGTGTCTGTGTATGCATGCAAATACATGAAAGCCTTTAATTTAGACCTATTATGCAAGATTGAACTAGCCCAAGCAATCTGATCTGCAAAGCCCAGGTTCAAAATTTGGCTGCAGCATCTCTACTTTTCCTTAATTTGAAAACAGATTCTGTTTGATTTAAAAATGCAGCTCAGTACACCATGCTAGTAAAACATCACGCTTCCATTTTACACCTACTAGTCCATGTACAACAGTGTGTTCTGCAATACTTTATTTCCATCCCTTCCTCTCCCGCCACCCAGATGGCACTACAAATGCAAGCTCACATCGCAATCACTTTTAAATTTTTTTTCTCCTTAATTTCTTACAATCTAGGAGTGGCAGTGGGATGTTGGCTGAGCAGAGTTAGGTTAGAGCTACAGTCAACTAAAGAAACCAGGGTTGGGTTTAGAATGCAATTTGGGGAAAGAAGGCAATACCCAAGCAATAAACACAAGTGAATGAAACTGAAGAACTATAGGTGCAGATTTATGTATGGAACTTTGTTCTAACTCCAGCACCACAGAATGAAATCACGTTGTCCCATATATAAAATCATCTCCCTGTGTCCGCCCTATTCTATCAGTTTGTTATTCGGTCATAATGTATGACAAACTTTAGTGAGAAAAAAAGCTTTTCCACTGACAGCCCACGCAGTTACTCATCTGTTCCCAGAGGTCTAATATTCCAGCTCATTATGATTCTTTTCTTTAGTTACTTCAAGTAAGACATTTTTCTTCCACAGGTCAGGCTACTTCAGAAGCATTCCCACAGTTCATGTAAAACTTCTGCCTTTAGACATTTGCTTTTTCTTTTAATTTGTCCTTTGGCAGGTTAGCTCTCAGCTCTTTCAAATGGAGTGGTTTCATCCTCAACCCCTGTACCTTTCACCAGTTAAGGATTAAGATGGGATGGGAATTTCTGGCAGATGCCAAGCTGGAGGACTTTTCATTCAGCATATTTTTGCGTGGAAAGGTGTGCACTCATGACTTAAGGTTTTGACTTCCTGCTACTTATTTTAGGTAGCAGCTTATATATCAGCAGGAGTGGAATACATAGGGTTAAAATGATTTAAAGAAGAAAAAGGATACTTTTTGCTGTTCACTAGTTTTCACTCATATGTGCAGGACTGAATATTCTGCTCCTCAATATTTATTCATTTGTTGGAGTCCTTTCATACCTTTAGACTCTGAAATATTGGAGGAACAAAACTTGGAGGTTGGTCACAGTAACTTTGGCAGTAAGAATCAGTCTCCCAGGGTACGTGAGCTGATGGAGCAGAGCCTGCTACTATCAATCTCTGGTCTCTGGCACACGGGATGAAGGCACAGAAAGAAAAGGATGCACAGAGGGATAAAGAACCTTGAAGAATTCCAGTTACCTTTCTTGAGGTTCTGGTATCATTTGTTGCCTCACATGTAACTGTGAACATAATTCAAGAATAGCAGCTTTTTCCAACTATTTCGTATGGAATTGTTAATAGGGCAGGGATGAGAAAAGCAACGTCAGGTAAATGACTGAAACAAATTGTCCTCATGAACATGGCTGAGAAATGGGTGTCCTTTTCTTTTGGGTCTGCAATGGTATATTTTTCCATTGTTCCTGCACTTACTAGGTTTTTTTCTACCAGTTTGTTTGGTTTATTTTTAATATAGTGAACAGAATTATTGTTAGGATTTTTTTTGCAATAGTTGCTTATAGTTCTTTTTCCATTCGGTTTTCTAGTCCCAGTAAAAATTAGTTTTTATTGGCTAACTCAAAAGGTAAAAATGTAAGTTGCAAACAACACAGGAAGAAGGAAAAAACTGCATTCTTACCAGAACATTTTATCAGCCAAGGTCAGGTTGCATGGGGATTTAACTGATTTGTAGCAGCAATACAGAAATGAGCCCTTGAGGAGCCTCTGTTCTTTTTCCCACAATGCAAAAATCTGACCATGTTCTGCTGAGGGACTTTCTCCATTTCCTTTTATTATTAAAAAAGGTCAAATCCTGGCTTGATGCCCTGCCTGCTTACTTTGAAAGACCAAAGAAAGTTAAAAAATCCATTCTGTCCACCTCTGTGTGTGTGAATCAGTGTAAAAGAAATGTGTACAGCCCTTCCTTCCCTGTTCTTCCTGCTGTTTAAATTCAAACTCTTTTCACGTTTGGGTAGTTTCTGCCAAGGATTCAGTTTCCTGTTAGTGAATAAATCCAAAGGAAAAATACCATAGGTATGACCTTTGCTCTTCTCTGATCCTGCATCCTTTGAAATTGTTTCCTACAGGTAGAAGCTCAAGCAGTCTACAACCATCTAATGCTGCTCTTCAGCTGTACAGTCCTTTCTGTCAAAGATCTGGAGGCTGCTGTACACAGTATAATGGATATAGAGCAGTGTTGTAACCAGCATCTTATAACACACCTTCTTACCAACTTTTTGCTCTTTTCTTCTGGTGGACATATGATTGCCCAGGAATTTATTTACCATGTAAGTGTTTCTTCCTTTTTTTCAGTTTAAGTAAAATACATATTTTTTTTACTATTTTTGATTTAAGTTCCTTCTTCTTAATAAAGAAAACACATAACAGAGAATTAAAGATCATGACCACAGCAACTGTACCTAGCCTGCTACATATCTATTTCAGCTACAGTCAAGTATTTTCCTTCCTGACACTTCTTGACAAGATCTCACTGAAAAGGTTGCTGTCCTGACTATACAGCTGCAGAAATAATTGTAGTAGTAGCTTGCAGTTAAGGGATACCTACAGTTCATTTACACCTGGCATAGATAGCATGTGCAAACATATTGCTTTTCCCAGTTATAAATCACTGCCTTAATTATCCAGCTGCTGCAGAGATGATGGAACTGTCTTCTGTTTTCCATTATGTAAAACAGCTGGTTATTAAGTGTTAGCATTGATGAGGTGCCAGAGAGGAAAATGGTGTGATAATGGAGAGAAAAAAAGAAGACCTGAGAGAGTGTCACTTAGGGTGTGAAAAAAGCTGAAGAGGAGTAATGTTGGAAGTATGCCACAGTATCTTGCTATCACAGTATCCCAGAGCCTTCAGGTATATTTGTGCAAACAGTAAAATGTGTTTGTGCCTCTCAAGATAATTAGTGCTATCTTAGTATGAGATTAGGAATTTATTCCTCTCTAACTATAAACCCATACTCTTTTAAGAAGTACAAGCCTCCTGTGCAAGCAGGTCTAGGGCCAGTGTGTGGTTTTAGCACTTCAGAAGTTTTTCCTTTGAGCAGCAGTGTGCTCTTCCATCTGTATAGGGTATCTGGCCTGTATAGGGAGTCTGATTTTATGATGCAGGGAACTAGAAAAATATTTTGGTGGTTATTCTTTCTGGCTGACTAAACATACATATCATTTTTCTGTTTAAGAAGGGCTAAGATATTTCTAGAATTTAGGTGTAAGTTCACAAATGATCAATTTCTTCTTAGCATAAGAATGTAATGATAAAAATAGGGGGGGTTGAATGTATTTTTACAGGCTGCTGGTTTTAGTTTCTCTTTTGAGGAGTGTGGCAGTTGAGCAGTGATGCTGTAATATACTAGTCTGCTACTTTAAACCTCTTCAGGAAGACCAAAGCAAATTTCTTGTTTCTTTATAGAAAGCAACATCACTAACTTTCAAAACTCTTGAGTATTCCCCAGTGGAGGGTGGTCAGGAGCTGTTGTAGGCCTGAGTATGTCGGTATCATTAATTTTGACTGTATCTGTGTAATCATTAATGTGTAACTAGGCTCTCCATGTGATTTGGAAAGGCTTGAAGACAATATATGAAAGGCAGAATGGTGTGGAACCAAATGGGATGCATGGCAGTGGTTCTGGTTAGCATAGTAAACTTTGGAATTAATACAGCAGTGGAATAAAGTTCTTCCTGATCTGTGAAAATTGCAACTTAGAGTCTTTTCCTGGTACTTTCTCATCTTTGGGGGGAGGGATTTATTTTTACTTTTGAATTGTCTCCCCAAACTCACCCAAAACCTCCAGGTGCTTATAGTTGTTTTCTAAGGAGATGACATCTAAATGGTTACACTGTCCATCTGTGTTTCCTTTAAAAACATTTTGACCTCTTGATTTGTTTTGCTTAAATTTGAGAGAACAGTAGAAATCTCAAAGTTGCTTAGTTCCTACAAGATGTATGAAAAGACATGCCTTGGGCAGAAGTTGCTTTTGAACTTAGAGCATTTCACGTGTTCAGTGGTGAGGGACAAATCTGTAGTTTTGTTGCAAATATTAACAGAGAATTCTTAGTACTTAGCAACTTAATTGCATTATTTCCCATCTTCTCTGTTTCCCTACAGATTACTGAGACAACTGATAGAAGCAAAGAAGTTTGTAGCCTTCTCATCCGTAGTGCATACAGAATTAAACACAATGGAGAAGAAAACCAAAGGACTGTGAAGCTGCTGAATGAACTTCTTCAAAAACTAACATCGAAAGTTTAGATTTTTGATGTCATCTATTTATCAGGCCAACAAATCAGATCTTTATCCAGGTGTCAGACTTTCATTAATGTCTTGCACTGCAGTTTACCAAGGGTAGAAAAATATCTATGTAAGCATATCCCACAGCTTTGTATTCCCTCATATATATTTGAAAATAATCCTTTTTTTGGAAATGTTAACCTTTTAGAACATAACAGTAAATATTTAAAGATGGTTGAAAATTTTGTTCTTAGCACCTTCTTTAATAAGAGACCTACGTCTTGTTAAAGCAGTTCACTCATCTCCTTGTTGTTCATCTGGCTGTGGATCAGTTTTTCTCTCAAATTACACATGGTTTTATTAACGAATAGTATCCAATTGCTTGGCTGGTAAGTTGTTCCTAAAATGTTTTGTTCTATAATTGTGCTTTTATGAAACTACTGATGATCTCAAGTGAGAATTAGTGAATGGTGAATGTTCTCAGGAAATCAACAATGTTTCCTGAACTCTTTAGTTCTTTTTGAAAATGTTTCCAAAATGAAACTCCTCTCAGATTTGCTAAATGACTTTTTTCAGTACTGCAGCTTTCAGAGGACAATGTTCTCGGCAAAGTATTATACCAACAGCTGGTCTCTGTCAATAGATACTGCAGGTGGAAGGTTGCTTGTAGTACAGGCTATTTTCAATGTTCCATGACTGATACTATTGTTTATTTGTTTAAGAAATCTTTTTTTCACTCAGAAAAAACAGGGCAAGCACAACATAGGCATAAGGAAACTTTACAGTTTGAGGGCCAAATTTCCTAAAGAGAGCATATGGTTGCAACTCATCTCCTTCCTTTTGGTGTCCAGAGGTAGTTTGCTTGCTTCTTTGTTTTCGTTTTTTGTCTCATGCAAAGAGCATGGACAGGGAGCGATGGCTTACTGTTTTACCCTTAGGAAAGTATTTGTCCCAAGAAGTTTTGTGAACCTGTTTCTAGCTTAACTAGAAAAATAAGCATGGAGAACATTAATGGCAGACTATCTTAACTCTTTTCAGTAATTTGTTCTCCTATATTTCCTAGCTTTAATGTCAGGACTTGCGCTATGTTCAAAGATGTTACTTGGAATACTATTCTTGCATATAAAATCAGAGGCATGTATCTTAAATTAACACTTTCTGAATGTAGTATTTGTTTTTGAGCAAGGGAAAAGAAAAACAATATACTTAGTGTCCCTTGGCTGTTAAGAAGTGGAAGGATATTTTTGTTGACTGATTTCATATAATTTTGTTCCCAGTGAGTCATATCAGACCAAATCACAGAAGTTACCTGTCCTCTCAGTCAGTTTGTTAATGTTTGTAATATTTGATTCCAGTACATGAAAAAATAGTAAATACATAATGTATGTCTGTGAAGAAAGGGGTTTTTTTTCTCTTTTTGGATTCAAAATACTTCTGAATGAAAAATCAGAAAGATATGTTGCAATTTTTCAGTTGTTAGTAGCCACACATATCTAAAAAAGGAAAATCAAGCGACCCAGTTTTCTATTCCCTGAATATCATACCTGAAAAGCATGGGATTAAACTAAATCATTTGTTGATAACAAACTCTGAGGTATTTGTCTAGTGGGAACATGTGTGGAGTGCTCTACCTAGAATGATAAATAATCTAAAATTTGTGTCCAAAGGAAGAACAATTTTTTTTTTGCCTTAATTTCTAATCCTGTTGTTGGATGTGAGATTCTTTGGTTGTCCTTAAATTCTCTCCACATTACAACTATATGTAATTTTAACTACTTAAATGAAAGATTGGCAGAGTTGCAATATATGATTCTTGCAGTTTTGTTAGGCGAATGATACGGGTATTTTATGTGTATTACAGTTGTTGGAGTTTAATTTGTGACCATCCTTTCACAGTGCAGTCATTTTTTTTTTTCCACCAACAAAGCACATGAAGATTCTTCTAACTTTCTTAAACAAAATCAATGTCCTGTTAAATAATGATAAGTCAATTCAAGCATGAAGGAAATGCCTAGTGAAGGCAGAAAGAACAAAATTAGTAGTGAATTGGTACATTCTTGTTTTCCTGTGTTTGGCTTCTTAACAAACACTGCATGATTTAAATATTACAAGGAAGGAGGGTTTGCTAGTTTCAGGAGACTTTAAGGAAGAAACCTAACTGATGCTGTCTGTAACTTTAAAAAGATACATCTGTACTGGCATTCTTTTTGCTTTATTTAGCATTGTTATAAATATTTGGTATTTTTTCCTTGTGCTTTCACAGTGCTTGAATTATGATCTAACTTTGATATAAACCATGATTTTGCGGCACATTGAAGCTACTTTTTTTAGCTTGCCAGTGGAAGGCAACACTGTGATTTGGTAGATCTGAGTCATGGAAGATTTCTCATATGGTGCCTCCTGCATTATCCATCTAACAGGCATCTTCTCCTCTGTAATCACTGCTTTCCGGAAAAGTTCTTTGGAGCCTTCAGGGCCATACTTTCATGCAGAACCAGCCAATGAGTCCTGAAATCAGGCTTCAAGTAGCTTGTTCCCTTCCATCCAATCTCCATATCAGCAAACACCCTAATCTTGGACATTATACTGAATATAGACAGCTTTTCAAAATTTTTCTGCTTCCAGGAGTTTTTTTGAATAAGAATACAAACAGTAAATTTTATTTGTTTGTTGATGATGCTTCTTTTCAGTTTAAGACTGCTAGGTTACAGCTTTTTCAATTCTGCAAGCTTTCCAGCATGAGGCTGAGTGGTTTCTGTGCATTTTCTTCAGAAAAAAGCCACTTCTGTGGCTTTCATTCAGCCATGATGTTAGTGTGTATAGAAAGCAGAATACATTTTATTTTGTGAGGTATGGTAAGAACAGGTATGTTACCAGGTGTTGGAATTTAGCTGACCAGCAGTAACATGTTAATCTGTTACTTCTGGGATTTGTGATGAAGTTTCCATACTCACAGCATTGTAAGTGCAAAGAGGCGTCAATAGAAAGTCACACTGAAGATGGAAGTGAGTTAATATTAATTTTGGTAAGTTAGAATTCATGCCATAGTGGTAGATGTTTGGCTTGGTTTTGGGGGATACAATCCATTATACAAGTTTAGGATGAAACGTCTAGCAAAAATGACTTGCAATTATTAAACCAAACACTACTAAAACAGGTTTGCTCCATTTCTTTGCTGTATTATCCAATGACAGAATAAAATGCTCATGTTCTGTGTGAGTGAATAATGTCATGCTAATTAAAATGCAGTTTTTCTTGTGATATAAGAAGGGCGTAGGAAGGTGAGAAATTCTGATGCTGAAATGCAGTTTTCTACTAGACCCAAGTTTGAAAAGTCAAAACCTGGAATGTTATGCAAGGAGTTGTCCACCAGAGCACCAAGCATGTTTTTGAATCCATGTTTTTATACTTTCCAGATAGTTTGCAATGGCTTTGTTATGCAATCAGTATGTTTTTCTGGGCACCACCAGAAGTTAAACCACTGTAGCTGAATTAGCAGGTGCTAGAGGCAGCCCTCTAGTACTTAATTTATAGCAGTGTTCACATGTGGGCCTTTTTAAGGTCACCTACCTCTCTGGTGAGTTTTTCTTACTCGTGATACAATTTTTCTTTAAATGCTTGCCTGGATTTAAAACATATGCTAATGGTAGCTGTTTTATTTGCTGCCTTAGCAGAGAGTTGCTTATTCTTGGAATTTGCTGTTAGGTGATCTGTTCACTAGTAAATGCCAAAAAGGAGTTTCCCATGCTTGCACTGGCCATCTTCCTTTAACCATCTGTCTGTCTGTCTGCTGGGGAGGAATAAACCTCAGGAGACCCTTTTGATGGCTTAAGTGTACTCACAGTGACTGGGTCCTTTTAGTGGCCAGGAGGCAGCTAGGGATAGGCATTGGATTGCCATCAGCCACTGAAATGAAAATCTGAAATGTCAGCTGGCTGTAGCTGAGTTCTAGCAATACAGCTGGTAGGCATGGACTGTGTCTTCATTTGTATTTTACATTCTTGCATGTGTGTGAAGTGAGAGAGGGTGAGAAGGAAGAAAAAGCCCCAAATATTGAAATTCACTTGCAGAAATTTAGCTGGGCTTTTTATATTCAATTTAATTGTAGTACTGATAGGAATAGGAAATAACAATTCCATATAAGACAGTTAACCTGAACATCAACAAGCAGCAGAAAAAAATCCAGCAACACTATGTCTTTAATAGATCTGTACATTTAACTAACTTCCCATCTCTTAACAAATCTTGCTACTTTAAAAGCATGTTTCATAAGTCTTCTGTATTATGTCAGATGATAGACTTATTTCATAAAAAAGCAGCCCCTAAGGAACAATGACCCTCTCTTTTCTATTATTTTGAATAAAAATATCTGTTAGGCCCATGAACTTTTGCAGATGCATTGTGCCATCTTGAAAAGATCACATTTTTATATGTTCTTGACCAAAAGGAACAGTTCCACTTAAGTTATCCACATTCTGAATTACACTGTCCTTGAGATTTCCTATGTGTATGTGCCAAATCAGCCTGTATATACAGTTTATTCACTCCGTGCAGTTTTGATTTTATTTCTTAGCTGGTGGGTTTATTTTGAGGCTCCCAAAACAGGTGCATGCAATGTCATTTGCATGCTACTGTTAAAAGTTCCCTTAATATTTCACACACAAGGAAGCAGCTTTTCTTTGTTTTGGCTAATGATGCTGTAACTTCTACTGTGTATAAGTTGTCTAAAGATTGGACTTCCTTTTTTTTATTCCAAACTAACTTGTAATGGTAGCTGAAGATAGGAATTTCCCATCTGTATTATCATTCCCTGTAGAGACTATCAGTAAGTGTTTAAGTGCTTTTAATCTCATCATTGTGCTGCACTTTCCTATCAGCTTGAGATGTCTTCAAATAGAGAGGGAGAAGCCAGTATCAAATTCCACTGAAGAGAGGCCTTGGAAATTTGCTACAGAATTAATTCTTAAGATGGAAATGAATGATATGTGTGTCTGTAAATTCAGACATTATCTGTGATTTTT